GGATGGATGGCTGGATGGCTGGATGGCTGGATGGCTGGATGGCTGGATGGCTGGATGGCTGGATGGCTGGATGGCTGGATGGCTGGATGGCTGGATGGATGGAAGAACGGATGGACTGTATAGAGTACGTGGATGGATGGAACGTCTGAATGCATACAGCCAGGCTGCAGTTGTGGATTCATGGTTGTGCCTTGTTGTGAATGTGACGGGTTGCCATGCAGGTCTACTTCTGCTAACTTCAACTCGTTTCGGAAAAATCCTGCCATACTTCTTCGCACGGTTGCTTCTACCAACTAGGTCATGCAACTGTCTCGCATATGCAACTGTACGCATATGCTCTCAGATTTCCACAGCCATTGATGTCTTCCCTAGAAATCCTGCGTATAAGTACAGTAAACGCCCTGGCCGAACTATCAATGCTCCACTAATACTTGAGCTTCTTCAATTGCGCAGTTAAGCACCGAATGAGGACCCCGACCTCAACCGCCATCTGAAACAACAGTGACTTGTAGGCCTTAACAGTAACACTTAGGTTAGGGTTTTGGGGTATGTTATTTTGTATGATTAGAACGAGGAACTTTGAGGAACAGCTTTGCAAAGTATTGTTCACACGTCAGGCGTTTATGGCACTGATGAGACACGAGGCCTTTAACACCGACCCAAGCCATGACTAGACCTGAAACCCTAACCTACTTCGGACAGAATCCTGCAATGCTTTCAGTACCAGGCGCTGTGGGACATACCGTCAGTATCATGAATCCAAAACCCAAAACCCTAAACCCAAAATCCTCAACAGCCCAACTTTGCGCAGGGCACGACAATCGTCGGCCGCTGGCGATCCTTTAACGCTGCGTTGCACTGGATCTCGACCTCGGCCACGGAGTCCAAAGCTCTTGGCTTCCAGGATCTTCCGGGCTTCGAGTCTTGCTTGCGAAGGGTTAGGGTTTAGGGTTTGGGGGGTTCGGGGTTTAGGGTTTAGGGTTTAGGGTTTGGGGTGTAGGGTTAGGGCTTAGGGTTTATTTTGTGAAGCTTTGGGATTTAGAAGCCCTCAACACGAAACCTGAAATCCAAAGCCCTGAACCATAAAGTAAACGGCTTGGGCCTAGGTTGCAGCCCTTACAGGAACCCTGAAAAAACCCAAAACCCAAAGCCCTGAACCCCGGTGAAATTCGCGGCGGCGGAGGACTCTTGGCTTGGGGATTCAGCGTTGCGGGTGTAGGGTTTAGGGCTTAGGGTTTGGGTTTAGGGCTCAGGGTTTAGGATTTAGGATTAGGGTGGCTTAGGGCTTATCATGAAAACTTGAAAGGCTGCTCGCTGGACCCACTTCGCAGCCAGGCTGCATGAAGCCCCACGCCCTACATCCTCGGGAACCTTAAGTCAAACCCTAAACCCTAAACCCTAAACCCTAAACCCGAGGAGTTCTTAAACCTTGAGCCCTAAGCCTTCAACGGCCACCCTAAGAGCGCTTGCAACGTAAGTCCTGAACCCTGGCCCTGTCCGCTAAACCTTAGGCCCTAAACCCGAAGAGCCCGGCCAAGCTTGGTTCAAGCCATAAATGAGGCGATCTTAAAATAGATAAGACTGATTAGCATTCACTTTGGCACATATTATTCTAGAACCATACAGAACTACTGCGAAAGACTAGGATTCCTTATTTCGAGCCCTATCAAACCCTTGAATGAAACTGTTAAGGTAGTTATTTCGACCTCTGCACGAACCCCTAAACCCGAAAAATAACGACAGCCCCCATAGAACCCTGTAAGGAAATCCGTTCAGGAACTCTGAGGAACCGTCTAAGCCCTTCCATAAAAGCCTTTGCCAAGTCGCTGAGGCCGTGCCGGCGAGGGCGGAGACCTGCAACGACAGCTGGCAGAGCTTCGGATGGTTCGGGTTTGGGGTTTGGGGTTTGGGGTTTAGGGTTTAGGATGGTTTAGGGTTGGGGGGCTCAGGGTTTCGGGTTCAGTGTTTAGTAACGGCTCTTTGGGGCTTGGACTGACAATTCAAGGTGCAGGAATGTGCAGGAGTCTGTGGGTGGGAATAAGTATATCAATGCATGTTCTACCAAGCCTTATATAGTTGTGGTCCCGGTGTAAGGCATTTTTCCAAGCCCCAGTCCCCCCCGAGATGAAGGTGCTTCGGGTTAGACCTTCAATGACCTAAGGTTTGCGGTTTAGGGTTCAGAACCTTCAATCAGCCGTCACTCTCAACCTTGAACACTACAGCCTCGGACCCCAAAAACACCCGAAAACCTCAAGCCCAAAAACCCTACACCCTTCAAAGCTGCCATCCGCCTGAACAGCCACCCGAGCGGGAGGTGGGCTCGGTCGCGTCGCGCTGGCCTTGAAGAAAGCGGCGTAGGCCTCGGACAATGAACCCAAGTCAAGATCTTGCTCAATCAGGTGTATGTTCGGTTCGGTTTATTTTCATAAGTATGCTTAATCTCTATGTCGCTCAATCCTAGTATCTCTTATTCTTGCTCTAGTAACGCTTATAATAACTTATACTACTACCCCTTAAAGCCCATAGTAATCATCCTTCACTACCTTGCAGAATGCAGGTTCACGTCGGCATGTGGAGCTTTCGGACTTGGAGTGTGTGGTTTAAGATTTAAAATCTTGCTTTCAGGGTTCTAGAACTTAGGATTTAGGGTTTAGGGCCTAGGGTTTAGGGTTTAGGGTGTAGGGCTTAGGGCATAGGGTGTTGGGTTTAGGGTTTTGGGCCTAAAGGCTTTGGGTTTTGGGTGTAGGATTCCGGACCTACGCCCGGGGCTTCTTTGGTTCAGAAAAAGGGAAGAGACCCTGAACCCGAAACCCTAAACCCTAAACTATGGGTCTCATAAAAGGAAGAAACCCCCGAAACCCGAAACTATGGCGCATGTTGTCCCAAAGTCATCCGAAGTCTCCGGGAACCCAGAACCCAGAGAAAGCCCCGAGACTACTTGCAGTATGGAATTTTTGGTTGCAGAGCAGTCGGTTGAGCGTCGTGCGGTGTTGAAGGCCGTGAAGTCTCGGGAGATGTTGACCAGGGACACGCTGCACCTGAGCAAACCAACACCTCCCACCCGGCATTCTCCGAGGCCGGGATTTTGCCCCTTTGCATGCCGTAGGAGGGTATCTCGGGGGAGAACTGTCAGCAACTTTGTTCACTGCGACACTCGCTGGCAAAATCAGAACCGGAGTGATTGGCTGCAACACCCATGCCCCTGGCTTCAAGCCGACGGCATTCAAGTTTCTGGGAAACATGCACATTCCGGCATCCTACCGATGCGCCAAAACATTGAGCAGTGGCGTTGCTATATGTCATCGGTAGCCACGCAGCCAATCCGGCGATGATACAGCTGGTGATCGTGATACTTCACACACAAAGGCTCACACTTGCATCAAGCGAGCGCAAGCCTATTCAGATATGAAGCTCCGTCGTGAAGAGATACGCCTGACCGCTGAGGGCCTGAATACCTGAAAGCCCTACCAGGCTCTGAATCCGACGGCCGCGAAATAATGTCTCATACAGGGTGCGCAAAGCCTCCCATTCAAGGACCTAGTCTGACAGCCAGAATCCCGAAAAACCTTACGTAGAAGGTTTGCCCATTTAATGTCGACATAGCTGGAGGCTGATTTTTATGAGATGCGAAGCATTGGGTTGCAGGGTGTACGATGGGTCCTTCACTCACGCGACGCTCCACTCGCATTGTCACTCGTTTCTTGCCATTCCTGCCTCCCCGACAGCAAGTCCAAACCCTCGAACCATAGACCTTGCAAGCCTGTCCATCTTGCCTCCAGTCTAAGGCAGGCACAAGGTCACCTGCCCCACGGAACTGTCTGCGGCCTTCGACCAGGGATGAAACAACATCCGAATCCTTCAAAACCTCAGGTCTTGGAAGGCAGCACCGACCACAGCGATGACAATCCAGGCTACCCTGAAACCTTGCCCCTCAACCCTAAACCATTAACCATCAAGCCCAACCCCCCCCCCCCCAAAGACCTAAAAAAAACCGGCACCAAGCCTAGAGGGTTTCTCCTGCACAGACCCTCTCTGGAAAACCAAAAAAAATCCCGAGGCCAAGCCTGCAGCAACTGCTGCAAGTTCGACAAAATCTTCGTCGTCTCCGGGCCTACGCCACCCGGCACCAGCCTAGGCATACAGCCCCCCGTTGCGAAGACGGTTTAGGACTGACGGTTTAGGATTTATCTGGTTTGGGGTTTAAGGTTTACGGGGAAATGCCCGGCGTTTTTCCAATCAACTGCTCGAATGGTTTCCTGTCAAGGGTTCCTTCACAAGGTTCCTGTTAAAGGCTCCTTCAAAGGGCTTTGCTAAGGGCTCCTTTAAAGGGTTCCTTTTCTGGGTTCCTGATGGCTGTCGTGCTGCTCTTTTCTCACTGGCTTTGTCTGGGAAGATATTAATATGGGCTTGGGGGGCGGCTTTGGAGGCTATTCCGCACCGCTCCAGCAACTGATGACGGTGCGGGAAAATGGGGAGAATCGCAGTCAGTAGAAAGTTATTGCCATGATAACAATTATCGTAAAACAATAATAATGATGGAAGTGATAGTAAGAATGAACGTACCCCCCTGTACCCATGCAGCTGTGTTGTCAAAGAACCAAAAAAGCCGAAACCCCTATGAATCGTTGTCCAAGCTGAAATGCTCTGAGGCTGGGCCACCAGCCACCCTCAAAGCCTGCAGACCCCGGAAACGGAAACCTAACACAGGGGCCCCTTTCTTACCCTGAATAATGGTATACTGATACTCAGGAACCCTACCTCTATTGAACCAAACGACTAGCGTTGGAGGCCCAAGAAGCCCAAGCCCCTCGCCCTAAACGCCCTTAACATCTGGGAGTGGGACTTCATGGTCGCCATGTCCATTCCTTGCATTCCGGAGACATAGACCATGCCACCGGCCTTCCCACGTCCGAGCTCTAAGTTCCCAACGCAAACAAATTATTGGAGACACACTCTTAAGCACAGAAATTGTACGGGCCACGGCTTAAATGTAACCCAAACGACGCACCTTTGTAGGGACATGCAAAAAGCGGAATCAGGCTTCGGATCTTTTGCAGCTACTAGGAGAGTGCTAAGCAGCCTTACGTAACCTCAAAGGCCTTAAGGAATACCAGTCCTAACATGTTAAGGGACACTCTAAGCCTTAAGTAACCTTAAGGCCTTTAGGAATCCCATTGCTAAGTATCCAGACCCCGACAGCAACAGCACGGTGCAGCGCCCTGCTTCCATGGAACCTGCTTTGTGGATTACATTGCAGCCCCTAAACCCTAAACCCTGGCAACTCCAAAACCTGTAAACCCTGAGCCCTAACCCCTAATATCAAATCCTTAAGCCCTGCAGTCCGAGCAGGAATTTGGGCAGACTCGATGATGGCGAGCCTTGACAGCATAGGACAGCGGGAACTTTCCCGAGATGTCCGGCCAGCCAGGCACGGTGATCACAGAGCTGGCATTGCGGCCCTCCGGAAAGAGCTAAGAGCCTAGTGTTGGGATTTATGGACTAGCGCTTTGGCTGGCATTCCGGGATCTGGAGACTGTGAAGGTCATAAGACTTCGTGTTCTGGGCTCAGGGCTATGAAGGCTCCAAGATTCAGGTTTAGGGTTTAGGGTTTAGGGTTTAGGGTTTAGGGTTTAGGGGACATTATGGTTTGAGGCTTGCAGTGGCGGCTTGTCCGTGCCTAGACCTTCAACTACCTTCGTCTCCGGTTTAAAGGTTCACCGGATTTAGGGGTCAAGGCCTACCCTAAACCCCAAAATGAACCCTAAACCCCAAACTCTTTCAGGATTTAGTGTTTAGGATGTGGGCAATGGAGGTTCTGACTCCGGGCTGCTGTTGGCGGCGAGGCGAAGCCTTCAAAGACATCGCTTTTGATAGAGCTTTGTATTAGAAGGGGTTCTTTTGGTAGTCTTCTTGGGATTTATGCGGGGATGGTGTTCTAAGGGTCCCTGTAGCATTTTGGGGTGAAGCCATAAAGGCCCAAATGTAGGGTTTACAATTACATAGGGTTTAGGGTTTATGGCTTCTCGGAGAAAAAGAATCTACATTCGACTGAAAGCGCGCTGCCTTGGTGGCAGCTGTCGTTGTTGTAGTCGTCGTTGTCGTCGTCGAAGTGGTGGTAGATGAAGGCCTTAAGGAAGAGTCTTGGGCTCCGAGCCCTCCACAGCCTGAACCCTGCACCCTTAAACCCTATCCTAAACTCTGAACACCAAAATCGTAACGAAACCTACATCCTAAACCCTAACGATTCGGTGCTTTGATACATTGCAACTGCATACAGGAGGCGTAAGGAAGAGTATGACAATGGAATCGAGCCCACATATTCTGATTTTGCCAGGCTTACGGGGATTTAGGGTTTAGGAAGTTCAGGGTTTAGGGTTTAGGGCTTAGGAAATTCAGTGGGTTTCGCGCTCGAGGCCTTCCACGCCGTAAATCCCAGACAAGGCTTGTGGGGACCAGGCAGCCGGAGACTCTTGGAAGCTTGGGGAGTGGGGTGTAGGGTTTAGGGTTTAGGGGTTTAGGGGTTTAGGGGTTTAGGGGTTTAGGGTTTAGGGGTTAGGGTCCAGGGGCTTAGGGGTTTAGGGCTTAGGGCTTTAGGGGTTTGGGATTTAGAGGTGTCAGGGTTTAGGGTTCAGGGTTTAGGGTTCCCTTAAACGTCTTGGAGCGCTTTCAGTCTTCGGGAGGTAAGGGGAAATATGTACATATGGGTGGTTGTCAAAACTATGGTCCCTTTTGGATCCTTATTTTCATGCGGCACCTATTATTTAGGGTACCCCAAAAGGGACCACAATTTTGACAACTACCCATATGACTTCGGCCGCACAGCACTTTAGTTGTGCCGGAGCCATGAGAACAGTAGACACTCCTAGGAATGACAGTGGAGTTTACCCGTAATCATCATTGAGACCCTAAACTCCCCAAAACACATAGTACCCATAGTAACAGCAGTACAGAGTTACTCCTCCGACCGTCTGTTCCTCTGCTGTTACTACTAATTCGACTATCAAACCTACTGCTGGAAGTATTATGCTGATGAGCAACTGCGAATAGCAGCAACGCAACCCCCACTTCAGCTCCTCAACTTAACCCTAACCCCAAACCCGAGAAGTGATAACCCCAAACCCTATGACCCTTTTCCCTACACCCTAAACCCTAAACCCTCCCTAAACCCCTAAACCCTTCACCCTCTGCACCCTCTATACCCTGGAGAGCCAGTCCCTGCTCCTCAGCGACCAGCTTCGACGAGGTGTCGCAGCCCTTGGCACGAGGCTCAAGGTTGGGGGGAGGTGGGAAGCGTACGGGCTTGCGGCGTTTTGGGAGAAAGGTTTTGGGCGCTGAGTGAAGATTTCAGGGAACTGATGAAATTTTGAAGGCTTGTTGCTTGCTTACTTCTGTAAGGTGTCTCTTTATTGGAGGCCAAAGTGTGTCGAGTGTCAGAGTCAACTGCTCGCTGCTACCGGCTTGCAGGATGGGGGATTGCGACTTAGGGCTGGAGCCGAAATCGGTTTAGGTTTCGGGTTTAGGGGGTTTAGGGGTATAGGGGTTAGGGTTATCGCTTGAACCCTTAAACCCCCAAAAGGCAAAACCCCGAAACCCCGAAACCGCGAAAAGCCGCTCAAGCCAAGACGAGATCCTGAGATCCACCCCACGAGACAACCATGCGAACACGCCCCAACACCTAAATCCCAACCCAAAGGCCCAAAACTTTCCGTTTTCTATGGTGCCCTTATAGGCCTTACGGTCATAACAGTTGTATTTCATTCTAGGGTTTTCTTGTTTCCTTTTTGTGTACCCTTTCGGTACCTCAACCCGCAGCCCTGAACCAAAAAGAACCTTCTGCCAGGCCTGCAGAGCGAGAAGAGGCAGCAGAGCCTGGATACTCTTGGGGGGGGGGGGCCATGAAAATGAGAACGGGATTCCTTTCAGGGCTGAATTTTAAGGGTTCCAGAAGGGTTCCTATAAGGGCTACTAACGGTGACTCTTTGTGTTCCATGGCAAGGGTCTGGGTAAGTAGAATAGGACTCTTTGGCGGTGTTATACCGAAAACCCTACTTTTGTAGGGGTAACGGTAACGAGGCAGAGTCGGTCAAATTACGCCGAAGAATTTTCGTAGAGCTTCAGGCATCGGTGTGAGTGGCTTCCGGTTCCTCGTGCTCCTGTGGCCGAAGCCACCAGCTAGCGAGATCTAAACCGAAACTCACAGAATCCTGAGCCGCAACCTGCAAGGACATTGCCTAAACCCGAAGCCTTTGCAGGAATCTCCCAGCACCGCACAGAAAGCAACCCAGAAACTCGCAACTCAGCCGTACAGCCCCCGAATACTCCAAAACCTACAGTTCGAACCCCCAAAACCTAAAGCCCTAAACCACAAAAACCCTATGAAACCCTATGTGGACCCCCACAAAATACACAACAATCCTCAGATAGCACCGGGCAGCAGCTGCAAATAATCTTCCAACCGGCATGTCTCTGGTAGGCGCCAGCTACAAAATCTAAATCTAAGTCTTCAAACGGCTCAAACGGCTGCCACATCGGTTGGGCGATGGCCTTGGAACGAAGGTCCAAGGCTTAAGGTTTAGGTTTCCCTTGAAGTTTAGGGTTTGGGGTTTAGGGTGTAGGGACGAGCCATGTAGAGCTGCTTCCCTGAGCGGCTTCACCCGTAATCAGCACCCTCATCCTCATGGTCAGTCAGCATCATAACAACGTATCGAATCGTTTTGCTGTGAATCATCAGCACGGGAACACGAGAGACATCGGTGCAAGCTGGTAGAAGTACTTGCAACAAGAAGTGCCTTGGAAGACGGCAAAGTAAGACTACAAGCTGCTAGGTATGAGCCTGCGAGGTGCTTGCATGTAAAGACGCATACATGCATATCTGTATGTGTATATATATATATATACATATGTACATACATACATGCATGCATACATACAGACGTACATACATACATACATACATACATACATACATGCATGCATGCATACATACATACCTAATTACCTAGCCACCTAGCTACCTGGCTACGCTACCCAACTACCTAACTACCTAGCCGCCTACCTACCATCCTACCTGCCTACCTTCCAACCTACCTGCCTAGACAGAGATACATACATGTTTGTGTGCTCATCACCGCCTGCATTCATGCATTCCATGCATATAACTCTCATGTGCTGCGGCCCATCTGAAACTGTGATTGTGAACTCACGGCCCACTCAGGCAACGCCGTGTGACATGGAGCTGTGAAAGGGTGGAGGGATTGGAACCGTCTGAGAGGGTTCCAAAGAAACGAAACAGGGTTTGGATTTAAAGCAGCCCGATGCTTCAGCACGGCTTGACCATCTGCACAGAGCGTACTAGCCTAACGACACTTCCGCCAACACTGTTTAATTTAATTTGCTCGGCGCAGCAAGTCGCAGATCGGAGGGCAGCACAGAGTGGATCTTTTTTCCGGTGTCATAGGGAAGTCAGGCGGCCATCTGCTCAGCCCCAGATTTCCAGCTCCTTCGATACTTCGCATTGTGCCCTCAACCCATCCTCATGCTCATGTCCACATGTGGAGTACAGCACAAGAGCCATGTACCCATGCCACAAAACTGTTCTCCCGCCTCGAGGTGGTCACCACTCCTCCTGTTTAACTTCATCAGCTGCAGGAACTCGACCGTAGGCCATGCCTCTGGGAGGTGTGAGATGCCAATCAACCGGCAAAAAAACCCTGATCGAATTAAGTACAAAGCGTCGTCATCATGGCTCAACACTGCATGAAAATGCGGCAAAAGTTCAACAGTGCAGCTACGGCGGCGATGGCAATCGTGGTTGCGTGAATCGCCGGTGAGAATTAATTAGCATCGTTCGTCGCAGAGCCCATTGGGGTGTCAGGAATGCTCGTCGAAGCTTCAATAATTTGCGTAGCAAATACACCATCACACATCACCTATAACAAACCGTTGCAACAACCCCAGTACAAGGCTCAACGGACTTAGCGGGTGGGGTTATAAGCGAGGCAACTTCAGTTATGACTACAGTGATGTATATTCCCCAATCAAGGTACTTACAATGGCCTTACTTACAAGTCCCCCGACCCCCCAAACCCGAAGAGCCCGTTTAGAAAATCTGATAACAACTCAGCTCATTGCTTACTGCGTCCCCTGGCTCTTAAGTTAAAACCCCCTACAGATCCCTTGAAGGTACCCTCTAGGGGACCCTTCAAGGTACCCTAAACCCTACACCCTAAACCCTAAACCCTACACCCTAAACCCTAAACCCTACACCCTAGGTTACGATGTAGAAAAGGCTAGCCAAGACGCGCTCGAAAGCTGCTGGCGGCCCGGGGTGCCCAGCCGCCCGAAACCTGAAAATCGTCTCCACGAGGAAGCGGGGGGGTGGAGTTTAGGGTTTAGGGTGTAGGGTTTAGGGTTTAGGGTTTAGGGTGTAGGGTTTAGGAGTGGCTTTCATCATCTTTCAGTTGCTCAGGTTATTGGTAGTAGTTAGTAACTAGTGCGTTTTTGAGTAGAAATATGTTATGCCTTGTGGGAATTGGTTGGGAATGGTGCTAGTGGGTCTTGACAAGGTTCCTTTCAGGGCTCTGGTAAGGAGTGTAGAGGGGTCCGAATTATAGCGCTTTAGGGCTGCAGGCTCCATAAAGAGGAGTCTATGAGGGCACGCGGCGTTTTGGGTGTTTACCTTTGAGGGTCTAATTAGAGAGTATTGCTACAGCGTTTAAACTTACTTGAAGGTTGAATCGTAGGCTGACTTAAGGGGCTGGTTGAGGATTTAGGGTCTCCGCGAGGACATCAAGGAAGGAGCCCTTTTGTTGCATATGAACACCGGGGATCACGGTCGCAGTCGCAGGGTGTTCATGTCCAACCCTCAAACCTCGCAGGTGCATTCGGGTGGCGTCTTGGTGCCCCGCCGTGCCTCCATCGTTTTTCTTCTCCTTAGTTGGCTTGCCTCTTGGGGTTTAGGGTCTAGGGTCCAAGGTTCAGGGTGTCAGGTTACGGGCTTAGGGATAAAGGCGTACAGTTTAGGGCTTAGGTTTTCGGAATCAGTCGGCAGCGAGTCGAGCGGTTCCAGTGTTCAGAGGTTTCGCCTCACTTGCCTTCAGCGGGATAGGGGTAGTTCTCTAAAGTAGTGGTCCCGTTTAGGGTTCTTTGTATAATGGTGCCGCACTACTTTGGGAACCTAGAAAGGGATCCTAATTTACAGAACTACCCAAAATGCAGCTGTGCCGAAGATACACTTCTGTTGGTTTATTAGAGGAGGTGCAGGCTCATTGCGCGCTGAGCTTCGAGCATGTGTACGAGGCAGAGGAGGGAGGGGGATAAAGGTGTCAGGGTCCAGGGTTTCTCAACGTTTCGAGATTCGGGCGTTTGGGAGGCAGGTCACGTGTACCTCTTGGTCCGAGTGCTTCGTCCGGCTCCCCTTCAGTCTCTTCTTGCGACTGTTCTCGCAAGCTGGCATGGGCATTTGAATGCTAGACCCAGACCAACCAGCAAAAGCTTCTGGCCTGATCGCAACCCTGCAGAACTTTCAGCAATCCTGCAAAACGTTTGAAAGCCGAAACTCTTTGCTTCGCGTCGTTCCTGCTCCAAAGGTTGAACTCGGTCGGCCATGGCCGCGACGGCTGCCTCCAAACGGCCATCATGTACAAGCCCCTTTGACCGAACATACGAATCATGAGCTGTTGAGGTTTTAATGCAGTACACACCAAGATTGATTTCAAGGAGCCATCATTCTTGGGGAGACAAGGCAGCCAGCTTTGAGGATAGAGGGCAGAGGGCTTAGGGTAGCTTGGGATTTAGATGCTAGGCTTCAGGATTTGAGGTTTGAACCAATGTCCAACCGCCAGGTGTGTTCCTGCTGAGCTTAGAGTTAGGGGTTTAGGGTCCTCTGCACTTTCGCTGCTGAAAACCAAGTAATTCCATTGCGAAATCATCAAACTCATTACTCGTAGAATACCAAGAATGGGAACAAGCATGATATAGCACCACACACTATGGCAGTAGAAGGAGGCAGTGGTGTGCATGAGACGGGCATAATACTGAAGGTTCAGGGCTGAAATTGTTTCCAGCCTGTGCAGCAAAGTGTTCTGCTTGCTTCTTGCTCGATGCCGGCTCTCCCTCATAGGAGTCGTCGTCAAGGGCTGCCTGAGCTGTGTCAGTCACAGTTGTGGCTCAAGACATCAGTTCATGCCAGCAACATGACATGCAGAGACTCGTGCAAGTGACTTTGTATCCAGGGTTTAGGGTTTAGAGTTTAGGGTCGGACAAGGTGAATGTCGTCTTTGGAAGCCAAAGACACAAAAAGCAAACGCGCTGATACTTCAGCTCGTGGCGGATTCTCGTGTGGACCCATGCCAGCAAGACCCAGCTGGACGGCAGCATTGGCAAGGTTAAGTGGTGCATCGTGACGTTTCCGTCGTCAAAGCTAGCTTGTTACGGGGTTCTTTTCATTGGCTCATTATTGTGCACGGTGTTTTGGGAGCAGGTGATCCCAAACTCTAAACCCCAAGTCTTTCGAGTGGGCAAGCCCAGATGCCAAGCGAACCGTGGCCACGTATCGGGTCCCCCTCTGGCCGGGCACTTGGAGCTCCTGGACCTCGTACTCGATCTCCTCGCAGGGTTGGATTTTGGCCATTTGAGCTGGGTTGAAGTGAAGATCAAAGGCCGCCTCTTAAACTCCTCGGCAAGTGCAGTGTTGGTTATTCTCTTGAGGACTTTGGGTTTAGGCAATTTAGAGGTTAGTCCTCCTTGACGACAGACCGGCCGGTGAGCAGTTGGACCATCTCGTGGAGTTTCATCTTGGCACTCATGGCATTCTCTGCAGAATCCGTGGCTTTTTGAACTCTTTCGGGTACTTCGGCATACTTTGGGAAGTCCGCGTAGATGGCGGCCCTGGCTGCTGCATGTTCGGCCTGCTTCTTGTTGCTAGAGAGCTCCCCCTGAAAGGGGGCGCTGAGACCGGGTGCTTGCACCGTGGCTCTGAACTGTGACTCCACAGCCTCGACGACGTAAGAGATCTCGTCCTTGGGTATGACCTTGCGGTGGGTCTGCTGATACGCCTGCTGAAGCAAGCCCTTCCAGTTCTTCTGCTCGCTGTTTGGCTGCCTTCCGTAGCCATCTCCTTGAGGTTGCGACCAAGGCTCCGCTCGTCCAGGTCCTCCGGGTGAATCTGGCCATTCTAGAAGGCCCTCGGCGTCGAGTTGCTGCCAACGGCTCCGCTCTGCCAAGGCTCGTCCCCAAAGATTCAACAGATCGACAGTGGGCAGAGACAGATCCAGCAGGGCCCCATGCAGCTGCCCTGCAAGATCCTCGAAGGCTTCCCAAACCGGGACTTCGTCGACCCGCGCTGCTCTTGCTGGCACTCTTCCTGACGATCTTGCCGGTGTTACGTGCATCTTCCCTACCATGTGTCCTGGTCGCTGCCTTTTCATGGCGCGCAGCTAAGGCACAGCTATAACTTGAGGTCAAAGCAACACAAATGTTTCAATGGCAACATCCAGATACAACCATGCAACCATGCCGCACGACGGCATGATATCGAACATGAATCCGGAGTCCACTCTGAGCCAAAAGCGTTGGGCGGAGGCCTCGAATTTCTAAGGCCTGGGCCTGGACTCGTAAACCATCCATGCCAGCCTAGACGCCCAAGCCACGACCACGATCACCAGCATCACAGGGCCATCACGACAAATACTCGACCGAGGCGAGCACGACTACCACTACCATCACGACCACCAGAAGGACAACAACCACAAGGTAGACCAGCAGAAAATCATCAGACCACCAGGAAACTAGCGAGACCACCAGCACAGCATGCCGAAAATGCTTCCCTTCATGAATGTTGGCGGTATTCACAGATATAGAAACATTGCCAATACTCAGAGACATGACCCAATTCTTTTCCGCATGCAAAGGTTTCGATACCAAAATGAGGCCAGTGTATGGCGTCGCACGTACAACATGCACCACACACAGCGGAGCGGCGTCCCAGCAGGCGTGCCTGCCACGGGAGCCTCGGTTGACAAATGTTACTCAACAACCCCCAATTTATGAATCATAAACCCTGAACCTTGCAAACCATAAAGCCCAAACCTAAAACCTCATGCGTATCACACTGCTTCATAAATCAGCTCGGCAAGTTTCCGCCATATTCTCACGCGATCCTCACCACCATTCTCACCCTCCGGTCCTCAGCATGGGTGCTCGTCATCGCATCCCCGCCTCTGTCTGGAATCCTCACCGCCCCCCTGGTTCGAACCACGGGTACTAGTCATCGCGCCGTCGTCATCGCCTTTGTCCTCACCGCTGTTCTCACCAGTATTGAATCAAGTATCCTCACCCCGGGCCGTCACGAGCACAGCCCGGCCACAACGAGGGGTTGGAAACGCACGAACAAGTGGTCTCTTGGAGTGGCTGGCGAAGAGAACGTCTTGCCAAAAAAACGGAACTACAACCAGGTCCAAGCGAAATCCATGTGGCCAGGTCAGCAACAACCAGAGTGGTGAGTCAGAGACCGAGATGTTCATTTCTGGGCGTCTTAT